CTCTCACTCGGAGGGGAATCCTCCTTAGTGCCTGCTGCACGGTGTGGCCATTTTCCATTTCTTCTTAGCCAGCTGCTCTGCTGGGTTCTTGGTGGCCTTCCGCCCCACGTTGGGCAGGTCCATGGTGGACCCGCAGCTGGCTCTTCGTGGCTCTGGGGTGTGCGTGCAGGGTCGCGGGCTGCAGCGACGCCCGCCGGGACAGCGGGGCTGTGGTGCCTGGAGGTGCTTCGGCCTGAGCCAGCCGAGGCTCTTCCCTTCATTCCTGTGCCTGGGGGGCCAGGTGGCTCACTCCACGCCCAAACCTGGGCACGGCGTGCTGGGCCTGGGAGCTGGGGCTCAGGGAATGAGCCAGCAGGACAGTAACACTGTAACTCCTGTCCTTCAAGAAAAGCAGGAAGAGCACCAGGAAATAGAAAGGGTGCTCAGTGGGGTTTGGCACGTTCTTGGGCTCCCCTTGGGAGTGCAGGGGTTGAAGGTGTAGCTGGAAGCAGCAGAGACTATACCTGGGGATTTGCCTTCACCACAGAACAGCTTTCCTCATAGGAGAAGTCAACCCATCACTTCAGCCTTTTTTTAGACTAGTTTGGCTTTCACTTTTAGGAAAGTAAGTACTGATGCACTGGGAAATGTGCTGGAAGGGTCTGTCCTCAGAGATGCTGTAAATGGATGGAATAAATCTGGGGTTTTGGCTCAAAAGAGTCGAGTCCGATCCAGTGCATGGAGTTGGACACGTTGTTTGGCCTTCCAGGTTCCCCATTCTGTGGTTGTATAAAGTGGGAGCAGCAGTTGTTCAGCAACTCAGGAGATGAGAGAGTGAACAACCCCTTTGGAAGTTCTTACTATGCACTGAAAGGTGACAGCAACAACAGGGAAACGCAACAGGAACCCTTCCCAGCCTTGCTGTACTACTGCTTAGGAGACGTGTTTAGGAAAACAAACAAGTGATGTGGGGAAAAAAAGGGTTGTGGCTGTGAAAGGAGACCTATGGGGAGTGGCCTCATCTGGAGGGAAAACGATGCGCGTAGGGTCCAAAAAAACCAATGTCATTGCAGGAAACTTGTGTGGGTACTGGGGAAACGGGGACATGGTTCCTGTGATCCCGTTTTTGACGCCAGAAGGCTTCCAGAACCACACAGGAGCTGTGTCAGGAACAGAAGATACCAACAGGATGATTCACATTCCATAGCCTGTTCTTTTTGATTGGTTTGTTGTTTTTCTTTTATGCTACAGAGTTTCATGAGATGAATTGTCAGGTTTGTGCAGTGAAATGAACTACTTGGCGGGTTGAGAGCATAAGTTAGTGAAATCATTATCTTTTAGGTCTCAAAAAAAGTCAAAACTGAAAAAGATTTTTCTTAGGTAAAAATACTTGGAGGTGACCGTTTCTTGTCCTTGGTGAACAACATGAATGACTTCTCAGACAGGGAGGAGTTCTCATGCTGTGCCCGTTGGGTTTCTGACAGGTGGACAGACACGTGGATCTGCTGCAAGTGGCCAAAGAGACGGACGGCTTCTCGGGCAGCGACCTGAAGGAGATGTGCCGGGACGCGGCGCTGCTCTGTGTCAGGGAGTACGTCAACGCCGCCTGCGGAGAGGAGGCGTAGGTGTCGGCGCCGCCCCGGGGCCGCGCGCCTCCGGCTCTTAGTCTGTCTAAGATACCTTGGTTCACTTTGAAAATCGAGCTGTTTGCTCCAGATTCTTTGGGGCTCTGAGTCAGGGCTCAGGACTAGGGCCTGTTCTGTTTAGTCCCTCTATCGAGGATCTGGATGAGGAAATCGAGGCACCCTTGGTAAATTTGTGGATGATACGAAGCTGGACGGGAGTGGTAGGAAGGCTCTGCAGAGGGGTCTGGCCAGGCTGGATCAATGGGTGAGGCCAGTGGAATGAGGTTCAACAAGGCCAAGTGCTGGGTCCTGCACTGGGGTCACAACAACCCCCTGCAGTGCTCCAGGACTGGGGATGTGTGGATGGAAAGTGCCTGTCAGAAAAGAACCTGGGGATGCTGGTCGACAGCCAGCTGAACATGAGCCAGCAGCATGCCCAGGTGGCCAAGAAGGCCACCAGCAGGCTAGCTTGTGTCAGCACAAATGTGGCCAACAGGACTAGGGTGGAGATTGTCCCCCTGGACTCGTTACTGAAGAGGCTGCACCTCGAATCCTGGGTTCAGTTTTGGGCCCCTCACTCCAAGAAGGACATTGAGGGGCTGAAGCGGGTACAGAGAAGAGCAACAAAGCTGGGGAAGGGTCTAGAGCACCAGTCTTGTGAGGAGCGGCTGAGGGACCTGGGGCTGTTGAGGCTGGGGGAAATGGGGGGTCAGGGGAGAGCCCCTCGCTTTTCTTCCCCCAAGAAAAAAGCCATAGGACAACAGAAAATGGCCTCAAGATGTGCCAGAGGAGGTTTAGGTTGGACATTAGGAAAAATGTCTTCCCTGCAAGGGTTGTCAGGGCCTAGAAGAGGCTGCCCAGGGCAGTGGTGAAGTCCCCATCCTTGGAAGGGTTTCCAGGATGTGTGGATTTGGTGCTGAGGGACATGGTTTAGTGGTGCCCTGGCAGTGCTGGGTTAACAGTTGAACTTGATGATCTTAAAGGTCTCTTCCAACCTAAACAATTGTAATGTTCCAAGGCGTGGAGGCTGAGGTGGTGTGAACCAAGAGGGGCTGTCACCAGGCTGTATTGCCAGTAGCGCTCCCGCACGCGGAACACCACGCGGCCGTCCCGTTCCCTGCCTGGACACCGCTCATGGGTGGCACGTGCGTGGACAGGGACGTGTCTGTGGTGTCACAGTGGTGCCTGTCAGAGCCGCCCTTTCCAGGGATCACTTCCTGCTCTTGGAGCTGCTGTTCTGTGGCACCTCCTGAGCCCTTATCTCGCTTTTTTCTCTTTCTCTCTTCCTTTTAAAGCCATGACGAGGATGAAATTCGGCCTGTGCAGCAGCAGGATCTCCACAGGGCGATTGAGAAGATGAGAAGATCGAAGGACGCCACGCTGCAGAACGTTTTGATGCACGTTAGTTTGGATTAAGGGAAATGAGTGTCTTTGCAGTTTCTGACGTGATTTAGCTTGACCTTTGTAATCAGTTAGCAAAAAAAAACCATCAGGGGTGGGAGCGGGGACATTCCTCCAACAAGGGGGTTCTGTTTCTGGAGTTGTTTTTATACAGCAGATCCTAAGTTATTGCGGTTCGTCACGCACAGCCGGGAGCGTGCCAGCAGACCATGGAGGGGATCGG